CGTGCGTTAGGGTTGTAAGCCAGTGTTAGGTTGGGTTAGTTCATCTTTATACTGTCCAGTACTGTATCATATTGCACTAAAAAGTTTCGTTGAGTAAGAGCCTCTAGTGAGACTGACTACAACCAAGTATAAAGGGTTGTGACAGTCAGTGGTTGTGACAGTCAGTGGTTGTGACAGTCAGTGGTTGTGACAGTCAGTGGTTGTCTCTTTGGGCAATATCTTACACAATTCTGAACAAGAGCTTTTGTAAATGTTTATTTTATTTATTTATCTTTGTATTTTTTAGTAAAATCTAAAAAATAATGTCAAAGAAATAATGTGTTTGTCATGGGAGTGTACACCTGGTCATGGGAGTGTACACCTGGTCATGGGAGTGTACACCTGGTCATGGGAGTGTACACCTGGTCATGGGAGTGTACACCTGGTCCAAAAGGTGTGGTCATGGAGGGTGTGACGAACACTGCAACTGTCTCGGTAAAGCTACGGTCACACTAGAGTTTTCCTGCAATAAATCCACGATAGTAATTAATTCAGGAGCAATAAGTCAATGGTATGATCCACTGAGGTGCGAGTGACACACTTCAGCCCCCGGCCCTACCTCTCTGTCGGAGCTGGTCTTGGTAGTGTTAGAGGTCGTCTCCAATGTCTCGGTGGTGTCGAAGGATCTGTCCGTGAAAGACACTCCTCCACGGGAACTTGGTGACCCTGAACGAGGGGATGACCTTCCACGACCCGACCTGCAACCACGACACTTGGCATTAATTCTTCCCAAAAAGAAAAAAGAAAAAACAAACAAAAAAGATATATTTAGAATTTTTCAATTGGTTAGATTAAGTTTGGTTAGGTTAGGTTTTGCTGTTAGGGGTAGGTTAAGTTAAGTTAGGGATTGGATAAGTTTAGTTCTAGTAAGTTAGGTTAAGTTTAGCTATGTTAGGGGTAAAAATAAGGTAAAGTCCAATAAACTTTTAGAGATCTTGGAAAAACTAGGCATTAATGAAGGAGATAATAGTGTTAAAGAATCTTTACTGGCAACAGGAGGCCGAAGTGTTAGTAAATAATGAACTATTGGTTCACAGTTAGACAGGGAGGAAGACAAGGCTGTGTTCTGTCTCCAACATTGTATAATATGTATTCATAATGAGAGAAGTTATGAAGGACTTAAGTTAACGGTAGAGTAATATACAAGGTGTAGATGATACTGCTCTTATAGTCAAGAGGCATTACAAAAACTGGTTAACAGATTAGTGGAAAAAGGTGAACAATATGGAGTTAATGATGTAAAGACTGAACTAATGGTTGTTTACAAAGTGGAAATAAATCCTATAATAGAAATTATGGTAGACAAAAGGGAACTTAAATTGGTGGATAATTTTGTGTATTTGGGAAGTAACAATAGCTGTGTGATGGTAGATGTGCGGAGGAAATCAAAACAAGAATAGGTCAAGCAAAAACAGCTTTTAATAATATAAAAGACCCAATGAAAGGGACATTAACTTTAATTTGAGAAAAGTGCGGCTGAAAGGCCATGTATGTGTCACGGTCACAGGTGTATTGATAACATATAACACCCACACGTTCACATTGTGCTCCATCCTCCATAACGTGACAGGGTCAATATAGAGGTCGGGCGGGTCGCAGGTGAGGTCAGAGGCGGGTGGGAGTGATGACGTCAGATGAACCACTCTGCCTGCGTCTCCTTGTACTTGACCCCAGTCTTATCCGGGCCACATTTGATTAAATTAATTAGGAATAATTTTCTCGACTCAAGATTTTACCTAAAGGATGGAAGCTTTATAACTGATTCCTCTATTCGGGAAATGATGACAGCAAGTAAGATAGAGTGTGGTTTAGCATACAAATTAAGTGAAGTGCATTTAAATGTATGGGGTCAGCAATGACAGCGGGTTAAATATGCAGTCCAATTGTTATCAAAAACAAGCCCTAGCTCAGTGAAATATCTTGGAGAAAGAGGACTACAGTACTAGAGAGGAGAAATTGGAAGGAAACTGCTGACTTCATAAATCTGGTGGACGAATAGTTTGACATTATGAATTCTTCTCATAAGTTTGGTGTAAAACAATCACTTAATGTATTTGGAATTAATTTATGTGACCAAGTAAATGTTCTGCAAAGATGATTGAAGTGGTGACAACAATGAGGGTAAGAAACCCACTGTTGAAAGGCCTTTACAAGTTTGAGAAAGGGGTAATATTATCATCTCGGTCACTTAGAGGGCTGTACAAAGTGCTTCCTCATCTGGAGTACTGTCACCCAGCCTGGTCCCCGAGATATGTTATGGACTGTCAGTTGGTTGAAAATGTTCAAAGGAGGGCCACCAGACTGGTGCCTGCACTTCGGCACCTCAGCTACCCTGAGAGATTGGAGCGCCTGAACTTGCCTATCTTATACTACAGACGGGCAAGGGGCGACCTAGTTGAGGTGTATAAGCATCTCAGGGGGCACTACTCAGTCGAGTGTCCTTACTTGGAGCTGGTGGAGGCTCGCCCCACAAGGGGTCACAGCTCAAGATTGAAGAAGCCGCAAGTCCAGAAAACTGTGAGGGCAAACAATTTGGAGTGAGGGTTGTAAACTGTTGAAATAATCTACCAGAGAGTGTTGTGACAGCACCGAGTGTGAGCTCTTTCAAGACAAGACTTGACCAACACTGGAGCGGGTTCAGGTACATTCAGCAGCCGGTGAATGCCCAGTACTTGCCAACAGTGCGTAACAGAGACGTGACCGATCGGCCAAGCAGCTAACGAGCCGATCTTTTGGTGAAGAGGATAAAAGAAAAGGAAAAGTAATCAGAGACGTGACCGATAGCCCAAGCGGCTGACGAGCCGATCAGTGATGGAGGATAAAAGTAAAAGGTAAAAGTAACTATAAAACTAAATCAAGATTGTCTGGAGCAATTTTTTGGGAGCATAAGACAGATGCATGGAACCGACGACCAGCCAAATGATGTGAATTTTAAGTTCATGCTCAAGAAGTTACTCCTGGGAAAAGACGTTTTACTAATTTCTGATAAATCTAACACAACTAATGATAATTTTGACTGCTTGTCAAGAAATATTGGTCTTAGACAAACAAATGATAAAGGTACACCTTTCAATGACAGAGAGCTGGCAGTAGAACTCTATATAACTAATCACTGTTTCAAAGACTTGGATATTGGCAATGAAGTAGAAAAAGAGTTAAGTGATGAGTTTGAAGACCTAAGAGAGTGTATAAACCCTGACACAAATGACGGTTAAGCAATAGATTTACCCACAGAAGAGGAAGGCCTTAGGTACGTTGGTGGCTCTATTGTGAGAAGGTTTTGGGGGAAATACTCACCTAGGCCAGAAAGTCACTGAGTGCACATCCATAACCAAAACATGGACAGAAGAAATAAACAGAGGTGAACTGTATGTTTCTTCTAACACTCTATTAACCGCTATGAGAGACGTATTTAAGGCTGTACATGGGGACAGTCTTAAGGAGGAAGGACTGTTTCAAAACAATTGTCTGAGATAAAGAGTTGATGTACCCCAGGATGTTGTATCCTTCTTTGACCAAATATCTGTGTTCTTTAAACTGATCAGTAGTACTTGGATAAATAAGAAAACAAGTAAGAATTGTAGATGTGAAAATAGAAAATTTATGAAAATATATAAATGATAGTTGGAAGAACAGATTGTCTTGGGATATGGTTGATGTAAATCATAAATGTTATTTATTTACAACTTTTGTGTGTAAATAAAATCTAAGTTATCATGATATATTTATTCCCCTTTTAGATACACACACACTAATACGGAAACATTACAGAGGAGGCAGTTATGACCTCAAGTGCACAGATAAACTGCACTGAAATAAGTGTAGGAATTTCAGGAAGTTAGTAAGAATATTGAAATAATGGCAGCTGTCCTTCCCTCCACAATGAAGGGGCCAGACCCTTTATGACACCCTTTTAGAGAGCCTCTCTTACTGTAGACACATCTTCCTCCTTCTGTCCAACCATACCAGGATATAGGAAACGGGGAGGTGATGATGATGATGATGATTATGATGATGATGATGTAAAGATAGACAGACTAGTGGAGGGAGCGGCCAGCCAGCTATAGTTCACGTGACGTCACTGAGCAGAGCGAGTGAAAACTAGACCGCCGTCCGGCCGACCTCTCTATACTGACCTTGCCCCTAGAGAAAGATTTGCTTCTGTAGTAAAAGGTACCGTCCATTTTCTATATATTCCTGTAATTTTTCCCTGTATGAGTAGCGGTAAGTGATGTATACTTACCAGTAGCTGAAGCATTCAAGATTCAGTAGTTATATGTTAAAAGCTTCAACTATATTTAAGTAGACTGAGAATTGTACTAAGATGATGTATGTGAAGTTAGGAGATAATCATTCACAACTGAAGATATAGGTCTCTGATTCACAGAACCTGATGACTGTATTGAAGTGGTTGTAATTTTTGTATTAAAGACTCTCATAAATCATTGATCAGAACCTGTTAAGGCCTCCAGTCCTCAAGTGTAACGGCCATGGGTAATTCATTCCATATGTCTTAAACGTTGACTTCACAAGAAATGGTTATGTCAATCTGAGTATTTGTGACCAATTTAATTAATGCATTTCAAATTTAAACACTGATCACAGTATAAGCATTAGCCTTAAGAATTTACGTAAACCTATAGTACATTACAAATTTTCATAAGCCTATGTGTACCATAACCGAGACCTATGAATATGTCCGTAAAAATCCGGTCAATGTAACCTACATCCCCAGTATTGAGTGTAACAATAATTAAGGTATAGGTATACTGTATTGTGATGGTTTTTGGTGACTGCTATAAAGTATTAGTATAAGTGATAATGAAATGAAGTGGTGAAGATTCCTATTTTCGTGGGTCACTCTTGTAGATTGTTACAGTGAGTTGTTGTAGTTTTTACAACATTACTTGTTAAATTTAGAGACTTGTTTTTGCACACCTGGAAGGCCAAGTGATTCTTATGGTAATTTGTATCTGTGTTTTTGTAAATTTGGCCAAGTCTTGAGTGACAGTACTTAACTTCATTATTAATAAATAATCTTTTGTGGTATCATTACTACTGCAGTACAGTATCCACCTTTTGTGCCACTGAACCCAGGAGCCTAGGCCTCACTATACTACTACCACCCATACTACTACCACATGGTTAATGTTATGTTATACAATATGTTCTGATAGAAAAGTCTGGGCACAGATCACTGACCCACATCAGGGCCTGGGGAAAAAAACAATAATAATAATAAATAATACAAAAATGGAATAAAATAAACATCAATGGTGAGAAACAATATATGTATGTTGTGTCGTTAATAGTAAGAGAAACACCTGAGACCCTACAATTGTGTGTAAATGAGGCAGAAAGTCAGATCATCAACCTGGGACTTGGTCACAGATGGCAGCAGGGTCTACCATTAGGTTTCAATATCTTCCCAGTACCTCCCTCCTCCCTACACATAACCAAGAGAAAAGTAACAGAAAACAAAATTACTTTGAGAAAATTAATTAGAAAATAAATCAAACAAAATAAATAACTCCCATAAAGATAATTAGTAAAATAAATGAGAAAAACAAATAGAAAATATTGGAAAAGGGAGAGAAGCGTGGCCAGGAAGAGGTTGGAGGCCTTTGAAATATATTGTTATAGGAGAATGTTAAGAATAAGTTACACCGACAGGAAAATAAATGAAGAAGTACGAAGATAAACGAAAACCTCATGAAAAATACTTTAATTAGTAATGAGGAAATAATAACAGAAATATTAATGGGCAAGTTGAAGGTAGGAGGTCAGGGAAGGCAGAGACTGAGATGGATGAATGACATTATAAACTGGGTCCCAGAGAGTTAGGTTAGGTTAGGTTAGGTTAGGTTAGGTTAGGTAGGGGTTAAGCTCAGGAAAATTGTTGATTTTTACTGTTAGGGTTAGTTTAGGGGGTTTAATATTGTCTTCCCGCTGGCCAGATGGTTACAAGAAACATTAATGTCACTCACAACGTGGAAGCCTCTCTGTCTGCCAAAGCTATACGGGCATCACGAGTGTCCGCTATAGTGTTCCGTCTCTTGACTCTCTTGCGACGTCTCTTACCCTTGTAGTACTCAAACTGTGGAGGTAAAAAAGTCACAGGGAAAAAAGTCACAGGAAAAAAAGTCACAGGAAAAAAAGTCACAGGAAAAAAGTCACAGGAAAAGAGTCACAGGTAAAAAAGTCACAGGAAAATAAAAGTATCCCCTACAATATCCACTTAAAATGTGAGGTGTTACTTTGAAATCTGTGCAACAATTTTCCTTGGAACTGGAGGTGTGAGGGAACTCTAATAACTGAGTCTAACATTTCAGAATTGAGTTGATTTCGAGATTTGGTTTTGACTGGTTACCTTGGATAATATTCTTTCAACAACATCATTGCTCGTTAGTGTTGAGAGTCAAGCCATAGCATAGGTCCCTAATTCTTCAAAGGGCCTCTTACCTGTTGAATTCATGTATTGCAACACCCCAGACCAGAAAGAAATTGCATCTGTGGGGATTTTGTCATCTAAAACTGACTCCTCCACCCTAGACAAATGATGTACTACTGCTGTGTTCTGGCTCTACTAACAACTAAGATCAGTCAGGTCAGTAGGTCACGTAATCATGTGAAGAAGTGAGGTCACTGATTAGGTGAGGTCATTGTGAAATTTAAAAATCTGCCAAACTCGTCTTTAAAATCCACTAGATGAGGAATTAGTACTATTTTGGTGATTATATTTTGACCACAGGAATAAGAACATGATGGAGCCAACAGGTAAAATAATTTCCCAGGTATGGACGCCCCTCTCTTGACTGACCAGACAAGGCAGTACTCTCTCTCGGATCACCTCTTCAAACACACCAAAAAAAAAGCTTAGAATTGTTAAGCTTTCTTCATCAGTTGGATACATCTTGTTAACAGTTGTTGAACGAGGGAAACTGGCCATTAGGTTCTAAATGCCTGTGTGACGGTGCCTAAAACTACATCCACAGGGTCTGGTGTGGTTAGGTCAGGTTACGTTAGGTTACATACAGTCATACAGCACATACAGTCATACAACACATACAGTCATACAGCACATACAGTCATACAACACATACAGTCATACAACACATACAGTCATACACCACATACAGTCAGTCATACCAGTGATACAACACTAATTGTATGACTGTTCTATGATTGTATGTATTGTAAGTGTTGTATAAATGTGTTATATGACTGTACACATATACGGACACACAGACAGACAGGTGTACACAGACAGACAGGTGGACACAGACAGACAGGTGTACACAGACTCACGTGGACACAGACAGACAGGTGGACACAGACAGACAGGTGGACACAGACAGACAGGTGTACACAGACAGACAGGTGTACACAGACTCACGTGGACACAGACAGACAGGTGTACACAGACTCACGTGGACACAGACAGACAGGTGGACACAGACTCACGTGGACTAGACTCTGGCGGAACTTCTCCAGTCTCTTGAAGCCCGTGCCAGACACATCAATGGGCACCAGTTCGGGCGGGTACTTGAGGGAGAGGGCGAGTACCCGCTGCTCAGGAGAGGGCAGCTTGTGGGACGCTGGCTCCTGCTCGGGCGGGCACACGGTCGCCGGTACGGACGGTGACACCGGTGCCAGTGACACCTCCGTTAGTGTCTCGTCGTCAGAGCACCATTCCCGGAGAGCCACGAAGCTCGCTGGCTGTAACAAGAACACCATGACATTTACCTGTTGTCTAAGTACAGTACATGACAAGATTACTTTCACTGTGTACTAATTAAACAACACGTCACTAACATGCAATTTTCATGCTGATAAACAAGTCATGCACATATTTCTCTCTATCTATTAATAAAAAAATGTTCACAATGTTTCTTCCGTCCACATCAAGGGTGTATTTCATGACCTAATATTACAACTTGGCACAGTATACAGAATTATGAAGCATAAATAATAATAATAATAATAAGCCTCCGCTACAATAACAACCACAAGAACCACGTCATTAACAACCACAACCACAGTAACAACCACAACAACCAGTTCTCATGTTGTGGTTGTGACCAGAAGTAAACCCGAGACAAAACACAAATATATCCCTTAAAACAACAATAACTACTACAACATTTATTACTTAATAACCACAACTACAACTATTATCAATACCTCTACTACCACCATCACCTCCACCACAGTACCATCATCACCTCCACCACAGTACCACCATCACCTCCACCACAGTACCACCATCACCTCCACCACAGTACCACCATCACCTCCACCACAGTACCACCATCACCTCCACCACAGTACCATCATCACCACCACCACAGTACCACCATCACCACCACCACAGTACCACCATCACCTCCACCACAGTACCACCATCACCTCCACCACCTCCACCACAGTACCACCATCACCTCCACCACAGTACCACCATCACCTCCACCACAGTACCACCATCACCTCCACCACAGTACCACCATCACCTCCACCACAGTACCACCATCACCTCCACCACAGTACCACCATCACCTCCACCACAGTCACCACCACAGTCCACCACAGTACCATCATCACCTCCACCACAGTACCACCATCACCTCCACCATCACCTCCACCACAGTACCACCATCACCTCCACCACAGTACCACACCTCCACCACAGTACCACCATCACCTCCACCACAGTACCATCATCACCTCCACCACAGTACCACCATCACCTCCACACAGTACCACCATCACCTCCACCACAGTACCACCATCACCTCCACCACATACCACCATCACATCCACCACAGTACCACCATCACCTCCACCACAGTACCACCATCACCTCCACCACAGTACCACCATCACCTCCACCACAGTACCACCATCACCTCCACCACAGTACCACCATCACCTCCACCACAGTACCACCATCACCTCCACCACAGTACCATCATCACCTCCACCACAGTACCACCATCACCTCCACCACAGTACCACACTAACAGTGGTGGAGGGAGGGAGTAACTCTATCGTAGCTGTGACAACCAACTCCATGTTACACCTCAGCTGCATGAGTCTACAACAGTGTATGTATGTATGTGTGTGTATGTATGTATGTGTGTGTGTGTATGTGTATGTATGTGTGTATGTATGTATGTATAAAGGAATTATATATATATATATATATATATATATATATATATACACGCACTAAGTGTATTATTGTAAGCACTCGACGTGGTATATACACTACAACACCTGGTATATACACTACAACATCTGGTATATACACTACAACACCTGGTATATACAACATGTGTCATGCAGGGGTGAGACAGGGGGGGGGGTACATACCGCTGGTGGGTCCTCAGGGAGGGGTGGCTGCGTGTGGGGGGGAGGCCGCTATGTTAGAAAGTGCTCATGTATGTACGCGTACAATGTGTACATTAGAGTACATTAGTACTCATAAACTAGTACATATTACACTAGTGTACACACTAAGTATTTATCTACATTAGTGCACATTAACCTAAAGTAGACCATAAACTACTGTTACCCATGGCAGGTGTAACACCTCTTCCCTCGCCAGGGTAGTGTTCATGAATGTCTTGTGGCGTCATTTCCCTTATCCTCGTTCTTCGTAATATTGGTAACATATCTTGGAAAGTGTAATGAGTTCAACCCCAAGTAGGACAAATTCCTCTTTCAAACGTTAGCAAAATTTATTAATTTTCTTTAAAAAAAAAGTTGGTTCATTGCAAATTTATTATGAGTGAAGTTTGTCTTTGTAGTAATGTTTTGTTATGCATGTAAACAATAACAGTGAATGATGTAAACTGCTGCTATGACTTTGTGACTTGCTATGAAGACTTCCCAAACAACCAAAACAGCTGTATGTGTGTGAGTGTGCAAAGGGTGATGTAATGCGTCCAGTGTAGCAGCATTATGTTAGTGTTAAGGTGTAAGCACCGCTTGCTCCCTCTCGCTTTCAGCTACCGCCTCCGGTTAGCCCTCGTGGTGAACAGAGAAGCAACTTGTATAAATCTTCCCTTGCCAGTACACAGTGTCTTCACCATCAAGACTCCTGCTGTACCTTTTCGTGGCAACACACGGTAACTGGGTGCCTCGTGGGCCCAGGCTGGACCAGCAGGGGACCTCGGAGTAGCAGTGGGCCCCAGAGGGACGGCGCATAGGCCCATTCACATGTGGACACGTTCTGGCGCCTACTAATCACTGCCTCGCTGCCCTGCAGATTAACCTTGGTAGGTATAAGGCTACGGGAGTAAACTCCAAACGAAAAATCTGCGGTGTAGCCCTGCATCAGGCAGACATGCTTACAGAGCTCCAACAAGACCCCAACGGTGGTATAGGCGGAAGAGGTGATGACACTGGGAACTCAACGAATACACTGGCAGACGAAGGCAATACATGATAGACAGGCTACTAAGGCTAAACCCAACAAACTGGGCTATCAGGAGTCCATTGCGACTCTCCCTCTCCCCAGTCGTTGCAACACTTGCACCACCGGATCAGGAAAAAGGGAGAACCAAGATGTGTGGTTGCAGCCTGCGCTCCTGCCTCACCACAAATCAACTCATGCGCAGCTATCATCCTCTTCCACACCATCAAAACCCCTATACCCCCAGAAGTCCTATGGTGACGGACGAGTGGCGACAAGGACAGGCAGAGATGACTGCCTGGAGTCTCTTAGTCACAACTCTGCACATGGGAAGCACAGATAGGATGGTTGTTTATGCACTGAGATCTAGGCAGCAGTGCAATCCGGTCTTGTCTGTGCGAATGAGCAGCCCTTTCCAGGAGCCACTCTGCTCACCTCACATGAGGAGGGGGCTAGAAAAGGTGCTCTAAACATAACCTGCCTAAAGAACCCAACCTGACTGGGCAACAGCACCCAGTGAGGTCATCCTTATGTGGTCGAAACAACAATTATAATCACAGATCAAACAAAAACAAACTATACAACCTCTTATGGTTGCTGCATGAAATGTCAGGACCCTTTTGGATACTGAAAGAAGAACCACCCTTCTGGTAAAAGAGCTGGCTAGGTATAACATTGACCAAGCAGCCAATAGTGAGCCCCGGTTCCCAGACGAAGGTCGACTCACAGAACGGGGGTCTGGCTATACCTTCTTCTGGAAGGGTAAGCCTGCTGTGGAGAGAAACAGCACATTATGGAGCTGGCTTTGCCATCCGCCAACGCATCCTACACAGGCTAACTGAAATGCCTGTTGGGATCAACGAGTGCCTCATGACGCTCCGAGGCCCACTGAATCACTCACGTCATGCCTTCTTCATCAGTGCATACTCCCCAACACTGGATGCAGAGGATGACACCAAGGAGGCCTTTTATGCCGACCTTGACAGAGTCCTAACCTCTATCTCCAGAGAAGACAAGGTTCTGCTCCTTGGTGACTTCAATGCCAGAGTTGACAGAGGTGGTAACATTTTACAGGAACCCATAAGGAGAAATGGACTAGGCAAGTATAATCCCAACGGCCTACTCCTCCTCAACAAGTGTGCTGCACACAAACCTCATTATCACCAATACCTTGTTTAGGCCGGCTGACTAGTTCAAGGGTTCGTGGCAACACCCACGATCCAAACACTGGCATCTCATTGACTATATCATTGTGAGAAAGAGATCGCCGAGATGTCCTCATCACCCTCGCCATGCGTGGCTCAGACGACCGCGACACTGATCATCGGCACATCAGAGCCAAGCTCTCACTTTACATCGCCCCAAAATGGCAAAGGCTGCAACCCTCCAGAAGAGGTTTTAAGACTAAGCATCTGGTGTATCCAGCGGTAGCACATGCTTTCAGAGAGCAGCTCGAACATGGGCTGATAAGCAACCCGACAACAAACAACCCAAATTCCAGTGCCAAATGGGGTATTCTCGACACTGTCATGACAAAAATCTGCAGAGAAACCCTCGGCCAAATAAAAAAATACACCAGGACTGGTTTCATGAAAATGACCCGGCAATCAATGTACTCTCAATGATAAACGTCCTGCTTTAACTGCTGGCAGAACAACCCTCAGTCTTGAGCCAAAGTTGATACATTCCGCTAGAAGAAAGCGGCAGCCTATCATGAACTTCGCAATCTAAAGAATGACTGGTTTAAATATAAACCATGTGAAACAAAACCCTGCAGATCAACACAAGATGGGCAAATTTTTCAATTCCACTTAAACATTTAATTGGCCAACCCCTCGTGGCACAGCCCCCTCTGCTCATCCGATGACAACTCCCTAATTAAAGATGAAGAAGGCCTCCTTCAGCACTGGAAAGAGCACTACCATTCATTGCTCAATTGAAACACTGATGTGGATGTCCTGACTACCCAGCAAGTCCCTCAGTATCCAGAGCTGACACATCCCAGTTATCCTCCATCCAAGGATGAGGCAGCTACTGCCCCCAAACAGATGAACAATAACAAAGCCTCAGGGCCTGATGGAATCCCAGCCGAGGTGGATAAAGCAAGAGGACCTCTGCTTTCCAGCCATCTCCACTCTCTCCTGGAGAATATATGGAAAAAGGAGGAAATCCCTCAAGCTCTTAAAGACACCTCCATCGTCAATATTTATAAGAACAAAGGAGACCGGTCAGACTGTGGCAACAACCATGGGATCTCTCTGCTGTCCTTAGCTGGCAAGATTATCGCCGAGTCCTCCTAAACAGACTTCTTCCTGAGGCGGAAAGCTTCCTCCCAGAATCTCAATTTGGCTTAGACCATCACGTGGCATCACTGAAATGATCCTTGTTGCCCACCAGATACAGGAAAAGTGCAGAGAACAGAGTCGAGACCTGTACATGGCCTTCATTGACCAAACCAAGGCCTTCGACTCAGTCAACAGGGAAGACCTCCGGCAGACCCTCAGACGTTTTGGCTGCCCACCAAAATTCATTGGTATGAATGGCAGTGTCCTACAAGATGGCACCTAGTCTGCATTCTTGCCCACTCAAACAGGGGCAAAACAAGGATGTGTACTGGCACCAACTCTCTTTTCCATTTTCTTGGCTGCCTTCCTTACTCGTGTCGGTGCCAATTTACCCAGCGGGGTGGACATCGAGTACCGGGTGAAGGATCTTTTCAACATAAGACGACCCACTTTCAGTACCTTGGCTCCCACCTGTCCACCACTATGGACAATGACAAAGAGATCCAACATCTGATTAGATGTGCATCTCAAGCCTTTGGCAGACTCCGTACCTGCGTCTTCAGTTGCAGGGAGCTGAAATTATCTACAAATTTGCAGGTATATCGAGCAGTGGTCCTCCCCACCCTGCTGTATGGCAGCGAGACATGGGTCACATACAGGAGGCACCTCAAGGCACTTAAAAACTTTTACCAACTTAGTCTATGTTCCCTCTTCCGAGTTCACTGGGAAGACAAGAGAACTAATGCCAGTATTCTCACTGACACCAACCTCAGGAGCATTGAATCTACCATTATCCATGAACTACTATGTTGAACTGGCCATGTTACCCGCATGGGCGACAGTAGACTGCCAAAGCAGCTACTTTACAGTCACCTAACGAATAGTAAACGTAACGCTTGTGGGCACCTGAAAAGGTATAAGGATAGTCTTAAGACAAACCTGAAAAAGTGCCAAATCCACCCCCTCACCTGGGAGATGATTACTCCACACCGTACCACTTGGAGGAGCACCACACGAGACGGTGTCAATACTTTCGAGTTAGTCCGACTGTATACCTAGGCAGACAAGCGCCTCTCCCACGTTAGATGTAGCCCTCCACACGTACAACATCTGAGGACAACATTGTCGGTCCCGTATCGGCCTCTTTAGTCACCTCAGACCTCACCAACCTAGGTGTACATCCTTAATAACTCATATCATTGTATCATAGCTGGATGATCGTCATACTCGATTCCGAGTGACAGCAAAGTAGTAGTAGTAGTAGTAGTAGTAGTAGTAGTATGGGATGTCGACTGTTCTTCTCTCTCCTTCGGTTGGCTTTGCTCTGCCTCGGGAACAAGAGGTTCGGCCCCAATGCCGACAATAGCTGCAGATATTGACTATGAGGCTACAGCCACTGAATGCCGCATAGATCTGCGGCTCAACTAACTCAACACAGATAGGATAGCTACTTATGTATTAGGATATTTAATATTAAGGCAATAAAATGGCGGCGAAGGTGTGGCTATTGGGGGAGGCTGGAGGCCACGTAGTAGTAGTAGTAGTAGTAGTAGTAGTAGTAGTAGTAGAAGTAGTAGTAGTAGTAGTAGTAGAAGTAGTAGTAGTAGTATAATCTTGTGCCTGGGACCAAATCTGATGTTCGGAGGCGGACGTAACTGTCGCCCAAGGTGCAGATCATTATGCCGGGTGACAGACATTGTTGTGTCTGTGCTAGCCTGTACCAAAAATGCACTAGCTGTGTTTGTGCGAGAAACAACCAACCATGTGTGGCTTACATAAAGGGAAACAATTGCTGCAACCCTTATAACCCTCATGGCATGGAGCCGACACAGGAGGCCACAGTGGATATCGCCGGGACCCAGCCGCCCGATGATATCCTAAATGATAGCAGTGAGTCTACTCAACCTGAAATTGTAGTACGAATTAACGCTGAACCAATAGCAGCAGATGTCAACGAGGTGAATGAGAGACAGCCACCACAGTGGAATGGCATGTCGATGAAAAATGCGGACATATGGGTTAAAAAAAACTTACTCAGAAATTGTCAGGTGGTCGCCAGCAAACCTGTTCGAACCACCTAAGTGTGCGGCCACCAAAGAAATGATTCGGGAGATGATTAGTCTCATAACTGAGTACACTCAAGACCGCTTCCTTGCCCGGTTAGCTCTTCATATACTGGCAATAATACCACATCTATTCTGTCAGAGGACACACACGAAAGACTATGCACAAAGAAAATGCGGCAGCATTGAAAAGAACATTGACACTGTGGTAGAAATGGGCCCTTGATGATCTCCTATGTGAAGCAAGAACACTGCAGGAGAGACTAAAATCTGCAGGAGACGGAAAGCAAAACACCGCTGATGCTGCAAGAAAGTTTGGAAACAAAATGCGTGTGGGAAAAGTGTTTTTGGCGGTAAGATCTCTCACAGAGGAATCCACCGGTGGGGTCCTGCCAATAAACAGAGAGACATTAAAACAACTGAAAGAAAGACATCCCTCTGCAAGTGATGATGAAGGCATCAGGTTTCAGGGTGCCTATATCCCACCAAATGCTGTCCTGTTCGAGAAAATAACAGGAGGGATGGTGTGGAAAAAGGCACTGAAGACTCAGGGAGGTGCCGGCCCTTCAGGTCTGGATACAAACGGTTGGAGAGTCATCCTCAGCACTAACAAGTTTGGCCCCGAAGCAAGTGATCTCTGCACGGCCATTGCCGTCCTTGCAAGAAAGCTGGCATCCTCATGCTGCCATCACGTTCATGCTCTGACGGCCTGCCGCCTCATTCCCCTGGATAAGAATCCAGGATGTAGGCCAATAGGAGTGGGGGAAGTGCTGAGGCGAATCATCGGAAAATGCATAATGGAGGTGATAAAGGACGATGTCAGGGCAGCAGCAGGGAACCTGCAAGTTTGTGCTGGCCAACAAGCTGGAGGGGAAGCTGCCATTCACGCCATGAGAACAATATTTGAGCAACGCGATTGTGAGGCCGTTTTCCTGGTCGACGCTTCAAACGCATTCAACATACTTAACCGCAAGTCTGCACTGCACAACATCAAGTGTCCAAGCTTTGCAATGTACGATGAAAACTCTTATAGGAATCCATCAGACCTTTATATAGTAAACAACAAGGCTCTAAGAGGTGATACTATCTTACAGTCAACTGAGGGAACAACACAGGGGGACCTGTTGCAATGGCAATGTATGCAATAGGCCTATCAGTGCTCCAACAAGAAATAAAATTTGAAACAACTGGGGTCAAACAAGTGGCGTATGCTGATGACCTTACAGGAGCAGGAAAAGTGGAGGGCATCAAAAAGTGGTGGGACTTGGTAACATCGCGAGGTCCACAAATAGAGTACCACCCAAACGCCAGCAAGTCCTCAACGTGAAGCCAGAACATTATGAACGGACAAAGGAGGTTTTGGGCAGAAGTGAGGTCAAAATAACTAAGGAAGGCCAAAGACATCTAGGCGCAGTAATTGGCACTACGGACTTCAAGACCGAGTACGTAGCGGGAAAGGTGAATGAGTGGGTTAGTGAAATCCAAGCTCTGTCTGAGATTGCTAACACAGAGCCACATGCGGCTTTTGCTGCATTCACCCATGGAGTCAAGCATCGTTGGAACTACCTGATGCGTACTATCCCTGATATCGGACCCCTCCTCCACCCTCTGGAAGAAGCTATCAGTGTCAAGTTCATTCCCAAATTAGTGAAACACACTTCCTTAACCCCAGCAGAAAGAGCACTTCTTGTACTTCCATCAAGACTGGGAGGGATGGGACTAACCAATCCAGAGGAGATTGCAGCCACCAAACATCAAAATTCACTTAAGCTCATGGCAGCCCTCACAGACCACATAATAGCCCAGAATGCAACAGGGGAAGTGGTTACCAGTGAGGTAAATAAGATTCGTAGGTCCATTACGACAGATCGACAGCACTGCCAAAATGATAAGTTGCAGCAACTGTTGCTGCAGGTACCAGAAAATTTGAAAAAAAAGTAGCTATAGCGTAGGAGGTGGGCGCCTCGAACTGGTTAACTACATTACCGATAAGGGCAAATGGTTTCAGTCTTAACAAACAAGAATTGACAGATGCCATTGCTCTAAGGTACGGTTGGCCAGTAGAAGGTTTGCCCTCCCAATGCGTGT